GTTATCACAATAGTATGACTGAGACAAAGTATAAACAGTGCACAAAAATCACCAAAACTGGCAATCTTCATACATATCCAGATCAAATATTATTGAAAAAGTAAGACGGCTTGTAAACTTTTGAACAATTTCCAACCCAAAACACTAGGCAAACCATACTGAAGAATGTTATGTTATATACGACCTTTCGAGCTCCCGAGGCGAGTGTTTTCCCGTTTATTTAGTAAATGAACGCTGCAGATAGGGGCAGTCATCAAATTGAATTATATTTCATGTCCCTTCACTAGTTTTATATTCATTTTTCATTCGATAAGTCGGAACACATTACTAGGGCGTGTTTGTGCAGGGTGTGTGTAGATAAATTTGGGTGAACATACTGATGTCATTAAGTAAAATCTTTCACTTTTGTGAATAAATCTCTCACCATATGAACAGGAATAACTTTGGGAAGTTCATATATTACAATTTTATTGTCGTTCAAATGAAACGCGCGCGCTTCAAAAAGGGCAGTGATCTTGTTTTTGTTGTGATCAGCCTTGCTTTTGTGTACTTGTTTGTCCACTTTAACTGAAGTATTTCTGTTAAGGTTTGAAATCTTGGTAAACTTTGTCTTGTGGTACCTTCTTCCTCATTGACTGACACTTGTGTTCATATTGTAATCTTATTGTGTTTTAAACCTTCTTATTCTGGTCACAGTTGTTGGTTGTACTTATAAATGTGGACAACCAAAATGTTTATTTTCTATGGAGGACGGAATGCAGTGCGATGGGTGCAAAAGTGATTCCATAAGATGTGTGCTCGTTTAAGTCCTACCGGATACAGAAAATGATCAAAGCCTACCTCTTATTAGCTGTGCATGTTTTGCTGTACAAATACGACGTTACTAATCCAAGAGGCTATTAGCCTATCAGCTTTGGTCTGTTAGAATAAAGGTGGTGATTGCGCCGGTACTGATGGCGAAGATTGAGCCAGTGTTGTGAGTGCTGTCACAGCACTTGCTAGACAAACAACTGTGCAACATTCAATTAATCAGTGGTACGCCATTGGATATTTGTGGCCGAGTTGCTATAGCAGCGGCTGACGATCTGGATAAAAACCATTACCGTTCCGAGTAGTTCCAACGAGGATGTTGCAACTGGTGGAAAAAGGATGACACGAAAACATGGAAGAGTAGGTAGGATGGCCAGAACTACTCCACCAAAGTCTCAAAGTAAGACCTCATCAAACATTGTTGTGAGTCATTCGCTCGACTCCCATAACTGTTATAAAGAAAACCAACGGTAAGATGCCAGCAGTCAATACACAAGATCTGACACCACGGTAGAAAGCTGTGATCACGATTTTCAAAGAAGTTAGACCTTTTTCTAGTTTGATTATTTGAAATCTAGAGGAGTCAAGACCTGTATGAATAGAACGAATGATTCCCAAAGCACCTTAATAGTGTGCTACACGAATGCGCGTAGTCTTTGAGCAAAACGTCCGAGCTAAGTTTAATGGTGAATGAATTAAGTCCTGAAACATGGATCACCGTAGACACAGACTGTTATCCGTCATTGCAAGTAACATCTGCATCAGAACTGATCGAGTATTACGTCGCGAGGGAGGAGGCATAATATTATACGTTAGGGATCATTTTCGTAAACAATCAATCATGTCAGAGGCGCATGTTAGTGGCAAACGTGAGGTAGCATGTTGCCCGGTTAAGTCCAGGTACGGATTAGTGACTACAAGAGGTATACATCGTAGTCCGTGTTATCTTGCTGACGACGTTACATTTAAACACATCTGTTCTTGAGGCAAGGCAGAATGTTGTATCATCATTGGAGACTTCTACGCACCACATATCAACCGAATACAACTTACAGCTCTGGGTGGAGGTTTCGATAACTTCCTTCTGTCAACCATTATTCAGTGTGCATTCGCACAATATATCGCAAAACCGACACATGTTGACTTGGAACATGACCCGTCATTGTTGAACCTTGTCCTCACACACCAATGCAATCGACATTCAGTATCTTCCCCCACTGGTGAATAGTGAGCACGTTGTACTGTGCTTTAAGTTTAGGACACTTGATATACAATTTGTATCTGCCCAACCCCGTCACAATATTTGGCGAGCCAATATTCCGGCAATCGAGGACTGTGCTATGTCTACTGGTTGGTCGGTCGGCGTGAATGGATCGATCAAAAACGAACGGAATACGTTTAAGGACACATTCGAGTCTGTATCATCACCGTTTATACGATGGTTATCACGTAAGCTATCACATTGCCCACCATCGATTAATGAGTTAAGTTACTTGAAAAGATAATTCGGGTTAAGTAACTAAGTCACATAGATTCACACAATCTGTTAGCTCCTGAGTAACATGGATTTTGTGACAAGCGTTCATGCTTGACTAACTTACTGCGAGAGGGGTTTGGAAAACAGCCCTAGATAACGGTCTGTCTGTCTGACGATGTGATATTCATAGATTTTAGCAAGGCAGTTGACAAGGTTTCACACTTAGGTCTCATGCAGAAGCTCACGAGCTTCGGAATAATAGGCACTGTACAGGGATGGATAGGAAACTTCTTAAGTGACTGCAGACAGGGAGCGAGAGTCACTGGAACTCTATCCGATTGGAAGCCGGTCAAAAGTGGCGTACCCCAAGGCACCATCTTGGGCCCTCTGCTCTTCCTTCTCGACGTAAATGAGTTACCGCTGTTGCTTAGGTCGTCGACATTATTATTGGCGGATGACGTAAAAATCTGGAGAACGATGTAAAGTGAGGTGATCATCTGGATCTTTAAGCTGACTTAGACGATTCAGTTAGATGGGCTCGAGGTTGGGGCTTAGAAATCAATTCTAGGAAGAGTGTGCTAATGCACATCGGTCACGGCAATAGTTACCATTATACTGTTGATGGTAAACCTCTTCCATGCGTTCAAGAACATAAAGACTTAAGAGTAATAATAAGTCATGACCTAAAAACAACTACGCATTGCAACGCAGCCGCTGTCAAAGGTTTTCGTGCGCTGTAGTCACTTTGCCAAGCGTTCAAATCTTTTGCCGATGAAATATTTCGAATTTTATATCTCACCTATGTAAGACCACATTTAGAGTACTGTATCCAAGCAGCTAGCCCATATCTGGTAAAGGATACTAACTCACTTGAGCGTGTCCAGCGTGTGAGGACGAAATTAGCGAAGGGTCTTTCTAAACTCCCTTACGATGAGCGTTTAATACGACTAAACCTTTTCCCTTTGTCGTATCGTAGGACTCGAGGTGACCTTATACTGGCATTTCGTATCTTTAACTATGATTTGGGTGTTAATATGTCTTATCTTTATGCTTCCTCCAGCACTAATAATCTCCGAGGTCATAGCAAGAAAGTTCATAAACCACGATCTAATAAACTTAAAGTGGGGTTCCGTTTTTCTCATCGAGTAGTCAATGATTGGAACGCTTTGCCCGAACAAGTGGTATCAGCCCCATCAGTGAATATTTTCAAGGAGAAACTGGACCTTCACTGGAAGGCAATCTGTTAGGATTAACACGGGTTCACCAACCTACTATCCTTATAACTAAGAACTAACATACAACCTACAGACTCGCAATCTTACGCGCGTTGTATGTTGTTTTGCGCTACACCACTTATATGTGTCAACAATTCTGTACTGTAGTCGGGTCTATGAGTTAACCCCACTAACAGATGAATTATATATAGAACGAGTTTGTCTTTAAAAGTAATAAACCCGTACTAATTTCCCATTTCTTAAAATGACAAGTGGATCAGACCGTATAATCATATATGATTGTATATATGCCATTTAGATGAGGAGCTCCTCCGTGAGGTTTCTAAAATGCTTATGTTCATCAGCATCAAAACCAGCTTCCAGTTGTTAATGAATACCATAGTGTTAAGCTTTATTCGCCAAGGTAATTCACGGAGACTTTCCTTTGAAATTTCAAAGGAAAGTTTGCTTAAGCTAACTGAGTATATTAATCGTGTGCAGCTCACCTTCTTTAATGCTTTCGATCAGCAGTGTTGGTACTTCATGTTGCATCAGCCACTTTATTAAGAGGCACCGACATTTGTAATTATTTTTCGGGAAACTAGATTTTAGGCAATGTGTTTCTTCCTGTTTTTAATATATTTAGTGCGCGCATTTGTAACATGTTTTTGCGCAAAAACTTTCAGCCCCTATGAAACTTATCTTAATTAAATTTTTATTAGCCTTAAAATGTTTGGTATTACCTGTTGTGTGAATAATAAACGAACACTATAACTGTAATAGAAGGAAATCCTGTGCAACAAATATTGCATGTCATCCTAATTACGTCTTAGACTACTTGCTAAAGAATGTGGTCACTAGTGTCTAACTTAACTTTCGCCGCCGAAAGTTCGAACTACATTTGGAGCACTCATTGGTATCTAATTTGTTCCTGACGTTATATAATCCTTACATATATACATTCATATGACTACTCATTAAACTTGAAATTCATCCGTCCAAATAATATCATTACTTGTGATCCACTTTCACTTGATTGAAATTACTCCATTAAAGTAGTAGATCTGAGAACATAAATTGGTTAATATGATTGAAAGAATATCCCATACTTACTATTTGGTGTATCTATTTGTGTTTGATGGATTCTGTTTCTACTGCTTGTCAGTTTTCTAGCAACTGATAAGTTTCAAATTGCGCTTTTGTTTAGTTTTAACCATCATGCTGTACAACTTGTTTTCGCTGCATGTATGTAACCGCTAAAATTTTGGCTTCTTTATCCACTTAACCCGTAAGTTTATGCCGTTCTCACATTAAGCAAAACCAATAGAGAAATCAAGCTTAACTAAAATACGGCCAATCCAACTGACGTTTGAAAATAAGTATAAGATTCAGGAGCTTGTATTTCTGTTTATATGGTTATTGTTTGCACACTACTGACAGTTTTCCATGTAATATACATTAGTTTTGATCATTTCGATTCCCTTTGTACTTTTAGGTAAATGGAACTACCTGATGTATTTTATTCAAAATCGCAGTATATCGAAACTGCTAGTGGCAACAAAGTTAGCCGAAAATCAGTTCTATGTGGAAGTCAGAACATTGTATTAAATGGAAAAACCATCATTATGTCGGATTGTATCATAAGAGGTGATCTGGCCAATATACGTATTGGACGCCACTGTGTAATTGGCCGAAAGGCTGTTATTCGTCCACCGTTTAAGAAATTTAGTAAAGGTGTTGCTTTTTTCCCTCTTCATATAGGAGACAATGTTTTCATTGAAGAGGATTCTATTGTCAACGCAGCACAAATTGGATCTTATGTACACATTGGTAAAAATTGTGTGATTGGACGGCGTTGTGTACTAAAAGATGCTTGTTCATTAAGGAACAATACAGTACTTCCTCCAGAAACAGTTGTACCGCCGTTTAGCATATATGGTGGCTCACCTGGTCGACTGATTGGGGAGCTACCCGAATGCACTCCAGATTTGATGGTTGATCTTACTCATGGATTTTATTATCACTTCGTACCCTCGAATGAACTTGAAACGGACTCTTAATTTTTGTTTTTAGTGGAGAGTGTCATACTTGCCTGCGGTGGATCTGGGTATTTTTTATTATTTTAACTGGTGTATGGAAGAAGTAAGGCTTTTTAAATAGCATTTTTGTCACCCAAAAAATTCCTAATCAGTTTCTTTTGAAGTCACAAATTTTACCGTGTTCAAGTTCAGTGCTACGTAAATATTAGGCGTCGATCATATAAAATTCAGGACCATACTCATGATAAATGTCACTATGAACCTAATTAGTATCTCAGATTAGTTATTTTCAGGTTACATAAAATAAAATGTTGTATACTGGCATTTCAGTTTATTAGTTCCAAAGTAACCAATGATATTCATCTAAAGTAGGAAGATAGAACAACTGTAGATTTCAACAGAAACCATAAATGTCTTATTACGAAGTTGAAACCCGATGAATAATTTTTTGTGTATTAAAAAGTCTCAGTATATAAATACCCTGTATTCTTTTGAATGCTATTGTAAAAGTACAACTGTCAACTATTCATACATTAATGAGATTGAGTCAGTCATTTACAAACAATATAGCGCCTGCCATAAATGCACGTTAGCTAGCTACTTAAGCGAACTGGCACAACGAAATAGAATTATTAAGACAAGTAGCCAAGAAATCTGAATAATAGTGGTTGCAATGATTGTAGAAAAAGTTTGACACTGAGAATATGATTCCAAAATTAATTCTTGGGACTCAGGATTTAGAGTAAGACGTAAACTACGGAATATCTCTGCCTCTGCGACGGATTCTGAACCATAACATCACAAGAGTTATTTTGTTAGTTTTTGGAGCATGTTACTCCGTTTTGACAAATGTATTTCCAAACATAACGAAATCATTTGAGAGTTGAAATATGTGATGTAAAGAAATAAGTTACCAGGGAAAAAGAAGACACCTAATTTCTTTAAGGCACGAATTTCGTAGGGCGTAGCGATACGAGTAAGCTGTCCATACGGAAGCAGATGAGGCGGGATCCGAATGGACAACCCAGTAATCGAATACTGAGTGCTCTGATTATAAGGTCTTTGTTCTTCATTTGTGAGCCGTGTATTTTGAAAAGATTATTGGACCAGTTGTGTGAAACTGCATCAAGGTGAATCAATTCAACTAATACATAGCTTGTCTGGAATAATCTTCTGGTTAGCGTTTTTATAGCGAGTTAGTTCTCTACGGGATGGGGTCGCTAACCCCATGTCCAACCCTCCTCCTTTATCCGGGCTTGAGACCGGCAGTAGCCCCCCTAAAGAGACTCCAGGCGGAGTTAGCTTGTCTGGAACAAACTATTAAGTCATATGATCCCGCCAACAGGTATGGTATGAAATAGAGTCTCACTTTAGGATTTGGTTTGGGGTTGAAGTTTTGATGATGGATAAACGTTTAATACAATAAAAAGAGGACAAAATAGGTAAAGCGGATGTTGAAAAAACATGAACTAGAATAAATTTGTCATTAACTCCTACTAAAAATGGAACTGCGAAGACGTAGTATCCGTTTATGCGCTGTTACAACGAGAACTTGGGCGTATCCATTTTACGTTATGAGCACTAATTTGTGGTTACATATTGGTGTGTTAACAGCATAACTATGACGTATACATCGGTTAGGCAGGAAATGAAGACTGCCAAAAGGAGCTCGATGAGTCTGAAACGAAAAGGCGACTGGGATAGGTTAAGACTTCATGATTTCAAAAAACGGCGAATGGGCATTCAGTTACTGGTATACTCAATATCTTCGAAGTCACACTCATCAACTACGGTCCATTTCAACCATATTTTTAAGTGATTAGCAACTAATCTTAGTGTGCTAGTTCAAGGAATATGAAGTTGCCTCAAAGGTGTTTGTGAGCTTTCATCTGGTCGTTAAATTATTCTAGGTTGAAACATTTAGTGCAAGAGTTCAATTTAATTTGAAGCTAATCAATTAAATCGTAATAGAGATGGCAGTCATGTATTGATTACGTGCCAAGGAGTTTCGAGTAATTGGAGCTCTTCTGGGGTGTCATGGGAAAACATGGATTTGGAAAATGATGAAAGATTTGCAAATTTATATGCCTTTAACAGAACAACTATGGGATGTACTATGTCCTAAACGCGTACACAAAGCTACATGGGTTCCACCGGATCATACTACAAAGGACCAGATCGATTATATTTGCGCCAGAACGATGGAGGATGCGAGGACAGAGAGGAGCTGACATGTCTTCAGTTCACCACCTGGTGGTTGCCGAGATGAAACTGAAGCTAAAGAAGTACTAGACAACTGTAGAAACAGCATCATAAAGGTCTAATCCAACCTTCGTTCGAGATACTGAAAAACTTAACGAATCCAAGATGGTTCTTATGAACGAGTTCTAAGCGTAACGAGATCTCAAAGATGAGGAAACTACTATGGAGAACAACTGGAAAGGGGTAAAAAAGGAACTAAACAACGTACCGGAAGGTTCTGAGCAACAGGCAGCACCGTCATAAGGAATGGAGCTCTATCGAAACCCTAGGGAGTATACAGCAAAGGAAAAATAAGATGAAAACTAACAACAGTCAATCAAGAGCAGAGAAAGCCAGAGCACATTCAGAATACTCAGAAGCAAACAAGAGAGTGGAGAGAAGCATTAGATACGATAGGCAGAAATACAAAGAAGACCTAGCAATAATAACGGGAAGAGCTCCACGAGAAGGAAATTTGCGATAACTATCCGATATATTCATTCATTGTGATGTAGACAGGATGTTTTAAATTCCATTCAATGAATAAGTCATCGAGCAACGAGAAATCCGTAAGAATTACAACTTCTGAATAGGGTGTTAACGTTTATAATTTGATAATTTCTTTCATGATTATCAGTTATAGTACACTCGTACCAACAATAAGCCAGCCATTTAATCCAAAATCATGAGAAAATCTTATTGTCATTCCTTGTGAAAGCTACTGAAATATGATAACATATCACTACCTAAAGCAAATAAGGGTTCTAGGATGGTATTGATGAATAAATCTGACTGTATAAAAAGAAGATACTAGATCCAAACAAATTCAAAGTAGAGGGTTCGAACAAGGACAGGACAGCATTATCAAGAAGTAAGATAACCAGAATAATTGGTGTTGCAATACGCGGGTACGCCTATTACTCATGCATCGACAGGTTGAATTACGTAAATCAAATACTCGAATGAGGCCAACAAATCAATGATAAGTTATCCTTGCTACAAACTAGCCTTATGGTTAGCCAGATCCATAGAACTAGAACCAGTCCGTAGTGAAATACCCACATAATAGCCAGGGACACTTTCGAATGTTCAGAATTGATGGACCAAATAAATACAACGTATAGACTGACGGTTTCAATTTTTTTACCAATCTTCTTTTAGAAGAAACAGCCGACACTGTTACCTAGTACTCACAGTTCAAATATCTAACGAGGTTGTACCAAGAATTCTCAATCCCAGTTTAACAAATTATGCTGTAAAGTAAATGACGCGATGATGGACAGTACCCGCTGACAAATTTGTTTGGAATTTAGAAATAACAAAACCACTACATGTAATTAACGTGACTGCACTTGATTTAAAGTATGTTGGTGATAGTTTTGTTTCGTGTAATGACGTACACCATGCAAACAAACTACTTAGATCTTTTAATAATCCTTATACTCAATTCACAATGGGACATGAAGGAAATGGCACGTTTTACTTTCTCGACTTAAATGTTTCTAGAAGACATGATGGGACCTGTCAACGGTATATACATCACAAGGAAACACTGAGTGGACAAACAAGCTTTCACCCTAATGGCTATATATAAGAGTCGGTGAAAACGCTCTACCAAAGAGCCGGAAAGTTAGATTGACCAAAGGAGTATATTATAACAAGAAGCGATCTGCAAGAAAGTGTTTATCCGCAATCAACTATAAATATAGTAATACCCGACCGTAGCTGCTACCTTGACGTGGTGTTCGGGCTTGCCTATCGTGATGACCCAACCGAGCTATATTGGCTGAAACACATGTTCCTACAGGTTCTACCATGCCAGGCAGGTCGATTGGAGAACGGTAAGACTAAAAGCAGCAACTCGAGGTCTGAGGGCGAAGTCGTAATGATGACTACAGAGGTGTGACAGCAGTAAGGTGTTTCCCTCGGACAACCAGCATCTGCAGCGATGCTGCCTTCTCACAAGGAAGGAAGGGGTTAGAAAAGGTTGACCCTAAAAATGTCACACCTCACTTTACCCCACGGATTTCGGTCTCCGGCGGTAAGGCCCTTTGAAGAACGGAGCTAACACATTAAAAACCTCCCACAAAAAGGTCGTGCGCGACCGGCCTCAAGCAGTTGTCCCTTGGGCTCTGCGGTCACGCACCCGGGTCGTTAATACCAACACTAATCTGATTTCCTTTTCAGGTTCCTCAAGAAATACTCTTCCACGGTGTGGGCAGCTAGGAAATGACATCAGCCTTCATACCCGTAACAGCACACGAGACCAAGTTGGTCACATTCAAATCCTTCCTACACTTCCTAATAACTCTCTTATCTCCACGACTAACCCTTCTCACACCCCTTTATCACCTTGCCCCACTAGTGCGAACGATTCGAGTACGCGGAACGTTATTCCTGGTCTCCTGAAATCACGCTCTAAACTACACTTAGGAGCTTTCAACGTCCAAACATTGTGCCGAATAGGACACCAGGCTTCCTTAGCTAGAACTTTAGAATCTCGCTCCATCGATGTGTGCTGCGTCTCCGAAACGCGCACACAGGATCCGAGTAGTGCCATTCATTTGACCTCCCCATGTCAAAGTAACGAACCAACTCGATTTACGCTTCGTGTATCTAGAAGCCCTGATGCTGCTTCCCGTGGCCTCGCTGGCGTAGGTATAGCATTGAGTCCTAGGGCAGAACTAGCTCTCTTAGACTGGATCCCAGTAGACAGTCGTTTGTGTGCTGTCCGACTAAACGGAACAGTAAGGACTCCGAAAGATAGGGACACTCGTCGT